ACACCCAATGTGGGGCTCAAACTCATGGCCCCAAGATCAAGAATTATATCCTCTTCCAACTGAGTCAACAAGGTGCCCCCGGAGTTGGTCGATTTCTATTTTTAATTATGTAAAGGAGCTACAGTTTCTTGTTTCTTTGTATACCTTGTAATTGTTGTTGTTGTTGTTGTTACAAACTCAACATTCTGAGTATTATAATGTGGTCACTCTGGAAATCAATCTTTCTCCCCCTCCCTAGGGTTTGCTGTTGTTACCTGGCGAGGGTTGCAGTCATCCATCTGTTTAGTGACTATTCTAAACTATTTTTGTAAAGACTATTTTGTTATGTGTGGTCTCTAAAGTCCCTGTTTCATTGCCTTAGTGGTCAGAGATTTCCTAAAATGATTGGAACCAAAAGCCAACAGTCAAAAATACTGTTTTGGTCTTCCTTTGCAGACTGGCTCTAAACTGGAACATTCCTTCAATGCTTTGCCAGTGTGCCTACAACTCTGCCTCAGCCTTCACCTTTTGCTTGTGGAGAGCCGAAATGTCAGCCAGAGATGCACACTCACAGTCCTCTCAGGACATTTCAGAGTATGTATCCAGTCCCAAGTGTGCACATTGTGCTCTCAATTCCCTGACCTATACAGCAGACTTTCAAATCATTACACACACCAAGAATCTTCCTTCTCAGTTTCCTCTTTCTCAGGCTTTTGGGTTGGTCTGCAGCTTACCCCATTATGTCATCCCTTGCCCCAGGCAGCCATGGGTAATACATCTTTAATGCTTTCAACAGATGCCAACAAGACTCAAGGGGGTGAAATAAGGGCAAGCTTCTGAAATGGTCCTTCAGAGAAATGCTATATAAGTCAAAATACACAGTTTGTAGAGGGAGAAAGTCTGTATTGCTTGTTTCCCATTGTCCTAGCAGTAGCAGCTGCACCAGAAATGTGGGCCACCCTCCATGGCTGCCACCAAGTTGGGGGATGGGGGATGGTAGACAGGTAAGCAAACGTACCACAAGACTTTCTTACCAAAACTTAGCAGCCTTTTCCTTCATTAAGCACACCCCTGGTTGCTGTAAGATTTTTATTAAATTTCCAAGTTCTGAAAAAAATTTTTTCTGTCAGTTTACACCAGCTTATGTTCACTCAGTAGAAGGATCAATTCTTGGAACTCCTTATTTTGCCATTTCTCATGATATTCTCAAAAACATATACCTCTTGATTCACAAATTTCTCTTTTAAGAGTCTATACCACCAATATACTGTGTACATGGCAAAATGATGTTCTCCCACAGTTATTAATTTTGGCATTGTTTGTAACAGTTAGTGATTAAAAATAACCCCCAAACCACTGGTTAAACACATTATGGCATATCTACAAGATAAAGTGCTTTCTACTTATACAAAAAAAAAAAAATCAAGATCTCTTTACACTTCTAGTGAAAGATTTCCAAGATATGCTAACTGATAAAAGCAAGCAGTGGTATAGGGTGTAGGGTATAGGGTATTCTACTTCATGCGTAAATTAGAAGCATACCTAGGAAGCATGTGTGCCTGTTTTCTTTATGCCCAAGGTCCCTAAAAAATTAATGACAACAGTTATCTACAAAGGGCCAGTTGGGGGATAGGAACATTGTAGATGAGGTAGAAATGGAAGAGAATCTTTACATTGTATACTTTCTTAAATTTCTAAATGTGTGAGCCACATGAATGTACATATTACTCAAAGATAAGGTAAACATCCAAAGACTTACAACCCTTAGTATACAATCCTAACTAGCATGCATCATCTTCAAGGCCACGATTGATCACACCTCTGGTTCCACTATCTCATTTCCCCCTAACTGCCTTATGATGCAGCACACTCCAACCACACCAGCCAGATGGTATTTTTCCGCCAAGATCCTAGAACTTTCCTAGTTCTTTCTCCCTTGGGGCTTTTGTACAAAATGTTTCCTCTTTCAGGCATGTTTATTGCTCTGAGATTCACATGGGTCTTTTTTTCTCATCTTTTAAACCTCAAAGAGACTTTCCATTAAAACTTCAGTCTGGAATATTTCCTTCATTGCCAATATTCTCTCTCAAACCCTGTTTTTTTATTGTTCCTTCATAATAATTACTATAATAAGAGATTACTATTCATTTGTTCATTTTTATTTGCCTGTTTCCCATACTGGACTCTAAGAAATGCATCTGTCTTGCTCACTGTTGGATCTCAGCACTACCTGTATTAGTGCTTGGGGCACTGGTATCTAATAAGTTGGGTGAATGAATAAGTTAAATATGGGAGAGGCTTATTCAATCCTCATATATGAGTGCACAGCTCTTAAAGATCATTTTTTTGTTTGTTTGTTTCTTGGTGTAGATCCTTAGTTGTTTCACCTGTAAACTACGGCTACTGACTCTGCTTGTCCCTAGGTCCCCAGAGAGAGTTCTCACAATACTCCTGACCCTTTGCTTCCACAGCTAATACACATGTGAACTTGATCTTGTTCTTCTCCCTAGTAAGACAGTGAGCTCCTGATGCCAGCAAAAACTGGTTCCGCTGCTAGAGTCAGAAACAGGCATGATGCCAGCTGTCCTGAGTAAGGGTGTCTTCTGACCCTGTTCTTCTGTCACATAACAACACATAGTACTGCCTTCTGCCCACCCCCCACCCCCCCACCTTGTCTGCCTATAGTAGGTCTCTTCCAACAGAAAATCATATTTACAATTCTCTCTACTTTCCCTCTCTACTTTCCCTCTAGGGTCCAGACAAGAACAGCTTTCAAAACCCAAATTAAAAATCTGGGCCACACATAAAACCTCTGGAGTCATTTGGCTCTGAACAGGGCTACAAGCATTATCCAACAAACTGCTCAAGCTAATGAATCTTTGGGAAGGCAAAAACAAAACAAAACAAAACAAAACAAAACAAAACAAAACAAAAACAGTTTAAGGTTAATAGTGTTGTTTCCAAAATCCAGGGAGAGAGAGACCACATGGTTGTGGAGGGACAGGATTCAACTTCCTAGCAACCAAGGACAGGGGGGAGACCTGCCAAGCACCTTAGAAGGCTACCATTCAGGGTCCCACTAAAGCCCAGGGCGAGCGGGTACACGAGCATGCTGGCTAACATGGAGGCGCAGTGTGACAGGATGACGTGAGATGCATTGTCTTCTTTGCAGTCCAAGAAGACCTACCCCACTTCCCCTGCCTCTGGAGCTCCTTTCAGAGTAGCCACTGAGGCGTGCTGTTCACCGGATGGCTACTAATTTCAGGCTCTAGAGACAAGCACGTCTAGCACTCATTGTGCCCAGATGTCTTTTTGACAAGGTAGGACATACCCAGTCATCAAGGGGGTGGAAACCATCACAGAAGAGAACGGACCAGCCTTCTGGATTCTGTCCAAGAGGTGGGGCCACTTGATACAAGGAGATATCTACTTCCAAACTGGCTGGCAACTTCTTTGTTTGAGAGTATCCATCTGGAAAGCAGCCCAATTCTCTGCCTCCCTACCATTCTGTACAAGGAGCTACAAATTCAAGGGTCTTGAAAAGGCACAGGGACTTGAGAAAAGCCACCATCGATATTGAATATTATGAAATGGCAGGAGGATAGGTTTTCAGAGACATTCCAGACTAGCGGTAAATCAAGCAAATAAATTAGTTTTCTTGAGACTGTTTCTACGTTGATGGAGGAAACATCTTTCTCATGCATCATCATGAAAGTAAAATTAGATTGTGCTTACAAACACCTGACTCAGTGTTTTACAAAGCAATTAGTTATTTGACCCTTTCTATAATATACATATTTTCACTAGCTCCCATATTTATTTACAGTGAATATTGCAAAATATTTCCAAGGGAGATAAATTGATACACACTTGCCCTCTAAAAAGGGGAGAGAGTTATCCACAGTGCCTCCTGAGGATTCTGAAACTGAAATTGCTGGCCCAGGCTAAAATTTCTGTCCCTAGAGTTTCACACCTCTTATACATTTTCCACTTCAAAGTAGAATTTTAAATGGACTTGGGCCACATAAGCAACAATCACGGTTCTGCTATCTTGAATTTTGGCATTTTAACCTTGTGGCAGGTAGTGCCATCATATGACACATAGTGAATGACACAGAACTCCCAGCGTACAGCTGTGTAAGGGACGGCCCTTCAGCTTATGTTGGAAACTAACCTAGCAATGATTAGATTGTAATTACATTTCATCCAAACACCCTAAATGCAAAAGGCAGATGGATCCATACAATTAGTCAACGAAAAGGAAATAAATAGCATTCCAGACATTGGAAGCATCATATAGGCCTATAGGATGGAACTGTCAACCCCAGGCAGCCTGGTTCTAATTGACTCCACACTCAGTCCCTGGCAGGCCATTGCCTATTGCTAGGGCACCCATATTCATTCTTCAGTCTCACTCTCCAATGACACTGTAAGCCTGGACGCAGGGAACAATGATAAAATCGGTTAAGACCCGTCTACCAGATGGGAAGAGAACGTGCTGAAGACTGGTTGTTCACACTCTGAAAAAGGCTTCCCTGGAGAGCCAGGGACGTTGATAAAGGATTAGGGAGTGCAGCTCTCAGGGTTTGGCAGCAGAGTTTACAACAGATGTGAAGTGTCATCCCAATCTCTTTGCTGAAGAAACTACCCAAAGAGTTCACCTCATCTAACAGGTCTCTAATTGTTTCCTTAAGTGTGGGTGGGGGTGGAGGCTGGGTCTCCATTCTCTTTTAGTTTATAGTGTGCGAGAGGAGAGACTGGTATTGGTACCTGCCCAGACCTCTGCTGGCTGTGAACCAAACCTGGAGACGAGAGAGCAGGTGGAAAATACCACCCCCAGAAACATACATGCAACCTGCAGTGAGCATTCAGATACCACTTAACCTGCAGTCACGTGCTCCATCGCAGGGAGAGAAGGTCTTCCCATCTGCACCAAGTCATAGCTACTGGTATCCCACGGAAAGTCACGGAGGTGCTTTTACTTTGGAGCCAATTGTAAAGAAATAAAAATGAACACTTACTGTGCACTGAATGTGTGACAGGACTTGAGTTAGGTGACTCATGAGTAGAAGGACCACAGAACACTGATGTCGGGCTGTACTGGGTTCAGATGACAAGTCTAGGTGTCTTTATCTGTAAATAAGCCAAATTGATTATTTTCACTGACGAAGAAAGCAAAGGTAGAGAAAGGGATCTGGGAGAAGGATACCCAAATATCGAAAGAGAAGAGCACAGAGATGATATATCATCAAGCTGATAGGCAGGAATGCAGAGTCGGACACACTGGGCTTGACTCTGAACTCTGGATTCTACCACTTATGTGGTATTTCCACCTTCAGGAAAGTCATGTATCAGCCTTCAGGCTCTGGTTCATCAGTTACAGGATTTCTGTGATGAGTCAGAAATTCTAAGTAGGACAGGGCCTCATACGCAACAAATGACTCTGTTCTTAATATCCTTTTAATTTTTTCCACTTAATATTACCAGCTATCCTGTGAGGTTAATATTTTCTCCATCTTTCAAATGGGAAAACTGAAGTTTGGAGAAGCTAATTCATTTGGTAAAATTCACACAGCAAGTTTAGTATGGGATTTGAAGCCTGTTTTCTCTTACTTGAAAGCCCAATTTCCTTCATTATTAACATGTCACTTTTGGGCTCACATAACTGGATTGGAAAGCAGTGGATCTTTTTGGAGATTGGATTGAATTTATATATCATGTGAAATTTCTCTGTTCAGTGCAGGGAAGGTGGAATCTGAGTGGATTTTCCTATTTCTAGAATTTAAAACAGACAGGCACAGTTCCCTGGGCCAGAGGAGGCTTGGGACAGACAGACACATGATGCAGATGTTTGCCTCAGAAAGAGCCATCCTGCCCCCAGGAGGGGCTATTTGGCCTGTAGCCCTCTGATTCGCTGCCTCCCAGGCCTCCTGACCCACATTTACAGGAGAGAAAATCCCTGCCAGATCCCATTCCAGGGTCTGAGCTCCCCAGACAGGGTGAGATCATTCTTTCAGACCTGGCCTGCTTTAATATGCTGGAAGACATCCTGAATGTAGGAGCACATAAACGAACAAGTGAATGACTCCATGGGAATCTATGAACAGAGTCTATGTCAAGAAGCCATATACACTCCTGCAAGATGCATCACTTACCTCCCCACTTGGTGCCAGGGTGATTCAGCAACTTGCATGTGGGTTATCTCACTGACTAGTGAATTCTTCTACTAATTTTTGCTTTGTGTCTCCTTGGGAGACTATCACAGGGCTCGAATCTCTCTACAAATTACCTTCTGAGGATGTGTATTACTAACTGCTACAGAGAGACTAATGAAAATAAAAACGGATTCGAAATTAGAGGATGTGATTTCAAGTCTACACTTCTTGGCTATGTAATGAATAAATAATAGAACTTCTTTAAAGCCTCAATTAGCTCATGTAATATGTGTATGATCAAAAAGATTACTTATTTTGCAGTGCTTTGTGAGAATTATATAAGGTAGAGGATGAGAAAATTTTTTGTAAATGGAACGAGGTTTTAAGATTGTCAGTTAAAATTTTGATTCACTTAACAGTTTGGACTGTGACTGGTAGCTACACGTTCATTTACTCAGTCATTTGCTTAATCACTTAGTTCACACATGTTATTAAAGAACTGCTATAGAGTCTGGAATTAAGCCTGGAAAGAAAATCAAAATCTTTCCTGAAAACATCACCATTATGATACCACATTGGACTGTGAGATCCATGGGAAATACGAAAATCATTTGATTTATTCTTGTGTCCCCATTCTTTGTCCTTGCTAACCTTAGCACTCAGCAACATGCCAGTCACATAGCCGGTGTTCAGGATATATCCAATCAATCAGTGTATTTAAGGTAGAATATCCAATGCCTCTGGTCTGGTCCCCTCCAATCCATAACCCACATAATTGCCAGAATGATGTCTCTAAATGCAAAGCAGACACGTCTATTCCTTGATTAAAACCTTCCAAAGGCTTCCATGCTCCTGAGAAGACAGTCCAGATGTCTTAGCCTAATATCAAGCTCATAACTTTCCTATCCAAACAGACCTTCCCCTGCCCAGTATGGACATTGCTGCATTGTCACACTCCTCATAAATACCAGGGCACTGGCTCACTCCCAATCTTGTCTTGCATATATATATGAAAATATTTATATACACAAAGATATTTATTATAAGGAATTGAGTCACATAATTATGGAGGCTAAGAAGACTCGAGATCTACAGTGGGCAAGCTGGAGATTGAGGGAAGCAGATAAGCAGGTGGTATAGTTTCAGTTTGAGTCTGAAGGTTTGAGAACCAAGAGAGCAGATGTTGCAAGCTTCAGTCCGAAAGTCAGCAAGCTTGCGACCCAAGAAAAGCTGATGTTCAGGCAAGAAAGAATGACGTCCCAGCTCAATGAGGTCAGCACAAGGAGTTCCTTCTTACTCAGCCTTTTGGTTCCATTCAGGCTTTCAACTGATTGGATGAGGCTCATCCACATTAAAGAGGGCAATGTGCTTTACTCTGCCAATTCAAATGTTAATGTCATCCAGACATACACTCACAAACATACCCAGAATAACGTTTGACCAAATTTCTGGACTTCCTGTGGTCCAGTCAAGTTGACATATAAAATTAACCATCACAGGATATTTTTGAAAACAAACCTGTTTTGTGTCAGAATCTTGACTGACTTCCAGGATCGTGTTTCTTTTGTCTCAAATTTTCCTAAAAATTAAAAGATACATGGTATATGGCCAGGCGGAAACTGTTCTGTGGGACACCAGGCACTAACGATTCCACAAAATGAAGATAGTCCCTAGGAGACTGATTTCACAAAATGAAACGGCTATCTAAAACACTCTGGTTCCTTGAGAAATATGAAGGATAGGGTTACTCGTCACTGAAAGAATTTAGGCAGATCTTGCTCCACCATTGGAAGGGCTACTTTGTTTTTTTTATATTAAATATAATTTATTGTCAAATTGGTTTCCATACAACACCCAGTGTTCATCCCAACAGGTGCCCTCCTCAATGCCCATCACCCACTTTCCCCTCTCCCCCACCCCCCATCAAGTCACACACTACTTTTAATCCGGGACCCTGTCCAGTGACCAAGATATAAGGTGGGCCTTAAGTATATTCCAGGGACCATATCTGCTTTGCTCATGACAGTATACCCAATATAGGACTTGACCCCTTAATAAATATTTGCTTAATGAAAGAATATGTCAATAAGTGATTAATAGGCTGACTTGAAGATGTTGTAGAGTATTATTTTTCTCCTTTGCCTCAATATTTGGATCAGCGCAAGTATTATTTTCATCTAAGGAGTTGAAACTTCTTCACTACTGTCACACAGCCAGAAAGTCGGGGATCCAGGACTCATACTTAGGTCCTCTGCCTTCCACTATTCAATGCTAACATAAAAACACTAACACATGCAGGCATATAAACAATTTGGGAAATAGCTGCAATTTAACAATCCATTTTCAATATACAGGGTATTGAGAACTGTGAATCATGAGGAAATATACAGGGAGGGATGTGTAAGATGGTATTTCATCCATGTCACAAAGAAAGAAACAAGATCAAATGTTCCTGGGTAACTACAAAGCAAATCTGCTTATTGCAATTAATAAATGGAATTCATGTAACTAGAGAGCAAATCTATCAATTACAGTTAATGCTTGGAATCCCAATTAATAATTGGTTTAAATCGAATTCTAATTAATAATTTCCAAAACACCCAACAATGTGCCAAAGCCTTGCAATGCAATGGTGAGCCAACTGCTCATTATAACCATCTTTTACATCTAAAAATTTAGGCATAGAAAAATGTGTTAAGAGTGTAGACTTAAGTGTTCTCATCACATTAAAAAAAAAAAAGTTAACTTTGTACAGTGATGAACGTGTTAATTAACCTGAGTAAAGTAACTGTTTCACAAAATATATGGATGTCAAATCATCACATTGTACACTTTAAATATATGCAGTTTTATTTGTCAATTATATCTCAATAAAGCTAAAGAAAAGTTAGCCATAGGCAGAGCTTTGGAATGAAAGGGACAGAGGAAAGTGGTACTTTTCTGCTGGTCACATCCTTCAATTTTCCTTTGGTTAAGAAAAATACTAATAGATTAGGTAGCTCAGTAGGAAAAGGGGAGTGCCACTTTGACTTAATATTTGTAAATTGCTTTAATATTTACAAAATATTTTCATAAGTGTTACCTTCCTCAGTTGTCAGAACACTCTCGGGTGATTTATTTCCTTTCTACTAGTGAGGAAGTTAAGTCGCATACAGTATTAAGTGGTAGAGCTAGGATTTGAATTCAGGTGGCCAACCCTTGCTCCAGAGCTCTTTCTCCCATTCAGTATAGGAAATCAAATCTTGGAAAAATCAAGAGGAAATTATGCTTCTTTCTTTACCCTGAAACCTACATTTAAATTAGCTTTACTGAGGTATAATTGATACCCCCCCAAATGCACACATTTAATGCATATATCTATGGGTTTGGACATACGCATACACCTATGATACCATCACCACAACCAAGGTACTAAATATACCCATCACTTCCAAAACTTTACTTGTATTCTGGTGTCTGCATATATGTATGTGTTTCTTGGTGAGAACACACACTGCTGTTGAACAGCAGATCTTTAGAACTTAATCATCATGTATAACAGAAACTTTAGATCCATTGAAAAAACCATCCTTAATTAGAGAGACTCCAAATGGCTCTGAAATAAAAACCCTGACAATCTTGAATGGAAGTAAGTCAACATTTTCTTAAAGTACCCAACAAAAATGTCACACCCTTACAAAACAATGGATTTTCTCTTCTTCTACTTAAAATTAGTTTATTAATCATTTCAACACATGTTTGAAGCCCACCGTGTGTTTATCTATGTGTTTGGAAGATATATTTATCAGAGTTTACTTCACTAGCTTAGTTCAGTGCTATCCAGTACTCTTCAGAGCCTAGCTGCCCATGTGCTGAGTATTTTGAGGTAAATCAAATGGAGACCCTATCCTCCAGGCATGGTAGATGCTTAAAAGTAATTGGAGTGTAATATAAGAACTGTCATGATGGAAGTGAAATTGTAGGATGAGAATCCAACTC